CCTCACCATGATCGTCCACATCACCATCCATCTCATTGTTGCCGAAAGCAACGATCAGGTCTTGATCAATGCGACGACGTTGTGGTCCAACATGTTCACAAACTCGGTAGCCGCATCATGCATACCGGTGCTACAATTTCGCTCCACAAGTCACGAACACTCGCAATGGCGAAAAGTGAAATAATTAGAAGGAAATCAAAGGTCATACCTTGAACCCATTCCGTCGAACACCTCGGGGGCGGCAGAGCAGCATCGTCGGCGGTGGTGCTCGGGGAAGCTCTTGGGGTGGTGTTTCACCCGTGCCACCTTGTGCATCTTCACCGGTGGGCTGGAGACGGCCTGGATCAAAATCGCAACAGCGGCCAAAGCGCGTGCCTTCACGTCGACAACTGCGAAAGCGCTGCTTTGGACGATGACGTTGCCCAAACGCTTGCAGGGAAGGGCGGTGGAGGCTTGACCGACAACAGGCGCAACACAGCCGGCGACGAGATCTGCTTGAGGGGTTGGCACGATGACGAGCGACCGTTGGGAGGCATCCATGGTGACGCTACACGGCCAAGGAATGTGGTCCAAAGCAGGCGAAGGGAGAGCGGGAACTACCGCGCGAAAATGTCCCTCCCACCAAATCTTAGAATGATAGGGGACACCCTCAAATCGGCCTCCCACCTTGTTTCTAAAGGTTGAAAGGTGATGGTCCGATATGGTAAACTATGAACTAGCGGTTATTTTGCAATTCGGCACGATATAAGAGGTCTACTCAAGACGCTTTTAGTAGGTAAAGATAAAGATTTCTGTGGATAAAGCATCCTGATGATCCACAAAGAGAGTACAAGATAAATACTTCTACAAAAAATCCTGAGCCACAAAAGAGAGTATAAGATAAGATTTCAACGTACGAAAACCTCATAATCCACGAGAGAGGAAAGAATAGGGATCGGCAATGTGAATTTGTACGCAAATAAGCTACTCCACATACATAATAAAAACACAAGCATTTGGACAAGTCTTCAAGCCTTCTTCACATATGACAGTACACAAACATCATAACAACAATTACTCGCAAGCTCCACTGAGTTCAAAATACCAACATAAATGAAAACATGTGATAATAAGCAGGGGCATCTCCACTCTTCAGTCTTTACAGGCCGCTTCTTCATCCTCCTACAAGATGGCAGCAATGATAGAACTAGTAAAGAACACAAAATTTGAATATTTAAATGAGTTTACAGCGATGTCACATATTTAACACTTTCACACACGGGCAGTGCCTCCACAAGACATCAGAGATGGAGAACTAGGAAAGACTGACATTTCAAAGGCTTGGCTGATGGCGAAAAATATAATCACAATATACTCCCTCTGTTCCAAATTAGTTGACGCAGATTTAGTACAAAGTTGTACTGCCTCCACAAGACATCAGAGATAGAGAACTGGGGAAGCCTGACATTTCAAAGGCTTGGCTGATGGCGAAAAATATAATCACAATATACTCCCTCTGTTCCAAATTAGTTGACGCAGATTTAGTACAAAGTTGTACTAAATCTATCTGCGTCAACTAATTGGAACGGAGGGAGTGGTAGTGGACCGTGATGTTCTATTCCTGTTCTGTTACAGACCAACTAGGGTTCTTGATTGCACAGTGGTTCACGTTCCAGAATCACAGCAGCAACAATACTTTTCTCAGCACGGTCAACGAGTATATGGAGTCATCTACACAAAAACATGCAACGGCACCACTAATCCTGTACATGCCACAACTAAACAGAGCAAAGAAAAACAAAGCAGACCAGTTTCAAACACCAAACAGATTTAGTGACCACAGAACAATCATCAAGTTTTAGGAGATACAAACACCAGCGAACCGCACAAAAACTTCAGACATACAACTACTAACAAATTGAAGGAGATTGGGACTCGAACCTGGATTTTGGAATGTAGGGCTAAGAGCTCAGCACGTTTCTTGCGGAGTTTCTCCATAAGTTCCACATCGTCAAGATACTTCAGAAGATAAACACACAAGAAAAAATTAGTCAACTGGTCAAAATCAATTTCCCACAAAATGGTTCTTTACCACACAATTTATGGCATTACATCGAAGGACTCTCTTATCCTTTCCTCCTCTTCTCTCAGTTCCTCTTCTTCATCGTCGTCTTCCTGCACCCGAGGAAAAAACACATAATTAACACTGGCGCAGCAAAATAAATATGCAACTGCAAAAGATGGACCACAGGTAAGTAACATTGAAGATACTAAAACGCTAGCCATTATATATATTACCATACCATCTTTTTGGCGTTGCAACACACCTCATCGTTACAGGCATCATAACCAAAGGAGAGATCAGTTTGGCCGCAATGAAAATGAGTAGAGGGGTGCTTCATATGAATACTTCCATTGTCCGTACAACCATGACATTTAACATCTAAAGGAAGACAAGAGTGAGACTTGTCATTTAAGTGCAAGAAAACCAGCCTGGCTCAGATAGACAAGAATAGCTGAATAAGTGGCAAAAAAATGCATGATTGCAGCACATACAACTGGCTGTGCGTGAACCAGTTCGATTGCGATATTACAAACATAAAGCTATGTATGGTAGAAGATGGCACAATAGGCAAACAGTCAATAGTAACAGCTCCACAATAAACCAGAAACGCATTTGCAATTATATCTATCAGCTAATTTCAAACAGTATTCCAAAACTGCTTAATTAAGATAAGAGTGTATACTACCCTTGCCAACAGGGTTAAGCCCACAGAAACTGTTGAGAAAATATCCTGGCGCAATGTTCTGATCTATATCTAACAGCTAAATTCAAACAGTATTCCAAAATGATTAATTAAAGATAAGAGTGTACACTACCCTTGCCGTTAGGGTCAATCCTGCAGAAACAGCAGAGAAAATATCCTGGCGTATCCCTCTGAACACGTGTGGCTTCAGCGAAAAATAGATTGACACTGCCCGCATCATCATTAACTCCTTTAGTTTTCATAGTGATATTGAAATGATAGTACCATGCATTGGGACCTTCACAGATTAATTGCCAATGAACAATATGTTCGAGTTCATACTTCAAATCCTAGACTGAGCATGGATTGGATCAGTAAGGTTGCATGCACAAAGCATTAGAAATAAAATACAGCAATCTTGGTAGTGGGGCAGAGTGAGGGCAAGCGGGATGGAGAGAGAATGGACCTGATCTTCGTTCTTCTTGTCCAGTAAAGCTTTAACCAGTCTCTGCACATTGTTAGTTTCCCTCTCAGCTATTTGCAAACTTGTGGCGACCTTCCTCGTACCATCTGACCACTCAAGAGATTCTCGTATAAGACGCTCCTTATTCGTTTCCTTGGACCTAATTTTAGATCAGACAGAGCATATGATTAATATAGATGTTAGTTCTTCAGAGAAGGTAAGAGATTATCTTTTCGAGAGAGAGAAAAGGAAAGAGAGAGCTCAGAACATTACGTGTCAGTGCTACGGCCACGAGCATAGGTATGGAAAGCACTTTCAAATGCATCAAGGCTCTCGAACGGCCCACCTGGCAGCTCTGGATATGAGTGATAAACTCCTGAACGATCCACTCTGACATAGACTGGTGTATGCAAACGGAAATGCCTCCAGGCCATAACATGGTCGGTATCCGAACAAGGATTGGGAACCCTGCAGTGGGAAGGCTCGGTCAATGAGTAGAAGAACGATTGTATGTTTGTTATGTTAGAAGATATAAGGGCTGTTTGGATCGCTGCCAACAACTACCCTACGAAAATCTTGGCGCTGAATGAGGAGGTGGGCAGGCGTTTGGATCGCCGCCAAAATTTCAGATCCACGCCAATTTTTGGCTAGCTGTTTAGATTTTACGCCAACTTCCGGGTGAGCCAGCGGCGGCAGAATCTCTCGCCAAATTATTGGCGTGCCCCGATTTGGCAGGGCGGGCGCAGGCGCCATCCAAACAGCCCCATAAATAATAACATGGGATCTCAGCTAGATGGAGAAACAGAAATCGAATGAGCAAAAACCTGTATGACATACTCTTTGGGCTGTAACGGTCCGTAGGAAGCAGCACACAGGTCAGAAGGTGGCTTCTCCTCAGCAGGCAAACCCCTGAGACCAAAAAAGCAAGCTAGATGAGTACATAAGAACAATTTGCATGTATATCAAAAAATGTTCTTTGCCTATTTTAAAATTGAACATCGTATATTTACAAGAATGTTCAATGGTCGAATTTTTTGTATTTTTTTTCTGGATCTGTCACGGCATGGAGTTCACAGAAATTTGGGCGATCAACTAACCACAAACGCTTAATAGCTCAACTGGGTAAGAACGCTTAATCGCCATTTCAATGTTACGAGTTCGAGTCCTCGTTTAAAGCGTCTTTTGTTCTTTTATTTTTGGTAGCGCTTCGCTATGACACCATTGAATGGGCCGGCCCATTCAATTCGCGCCTGCGCGAAAGCTCGTCCTTTTGACGCTGGCAAGCGTCAGCTAGGGACAGACTCCCGCGCCAAATTGTCGGGGATTCGCACAACACAAGTATTCTAGCCACGAGAGATGGCCGGCCCAGTTCTAGCTTTACACTGCACCCAACCGGTTTTGGAACCTTCTAGTAGGTTCCCTGAACCGTTTTTTTTTATTTCTACTCCTTTTTTATTTTATTTTCCTTCTTTTTTATTTTTCAAAAATGATCAAAAATACTCTAAAACCAAAATTTATTCACAATTTTCAAAAATGTTCCTGTTTCGAAATTTTGATCAAAAAATTAGAAAATGCTCAAAAATTTGTAAGTTATATAGAATCTAAAAAATGTTCCCTTCTTTGTTAGGTAATATCAACCAAGTTTGTAATTCCGAAATTTGTTCAACATTTGAGAAAATGTTTGCATTTTCAAAAAAATTCAAAAATTCAAAAAATGTTCGGTAATATCAAAAATTGTTCTCAATTCCAAAATTTGTTTGGATATTCCAATTTTGTTCATATTTTTAAAATTTGTTCTCAAATGCAAAAAAAGTTTTGAGGAATTTAAAAAAAATCAATGTTTTTAAAATTTGTCCGTAATTTATAAAAATGTTTGAGTTTCAAAAAAATTGCTCCTTTTGTAAGAACAAATGTTCAGGAAATTCGAAAAATATCTTATTTTTTTAATAATTTCACAAATTAAACAATGTTTTCAAAATTTATTCACTTTATTAAAAAAATGTTCCAGGAATTTCAAAAAATGTGCAGTTTCAAATAAAATGTTCGTATTTTTGAAACAATTTCTTCAAATAATTTCAACAGTTGCGTTTACATTTTCCCTTTTTCTAAAAAAATTGTACAGAAATTTAGTTATTTTTTGCATTGTTTCAAAAACTTCTCCATGTTTTCAGTTTTTTTCCGAATAATTCAAAAAACTATACAAAGAATTAGGCTGTATTAAGTATCCCGCTCGATTGAATTCTTAAACATATTGCGCTAAATTTAGTTTCTAGCAGTCTTTTGCTCTAGTGGCTAGCGGCACTAGTTGACGAGCTGTTAATCACGAGCTCGAATCCTCCAAACAGTGTGTCAGTTTTTTTTTTGCGGAGTAAACACAGTTAGCTTGGCGCCTTCGAGTGGGCCAGCCTAATATCGGTCTGCATGTGCGTCGGCGCGCTGTTGGTTTTTTCGCAGCGCAAACACAGTTAGCTTGGCTCCCTCGAGTGGGCCAGCCCAATATCGGATGCATGTGCGTCGGCGCGCTGTTAGATGCATTAAATAGGAGCTCCCGAGTATGGTTTCAGCCAAGGAGAGAGAACGTGGAAAAAACACAGATGGGCTTGGCCCATTCGTGTGAGAGAAACAAATAGAGAGGGATGAAGGGAGGAGATAGATTCGGCTTAGGGAATTGGATGCAAAGTTCGAGAGAGGAAAATAAATTGTTTTTCTCTTAGGAAAATCCAAAAAATAAAAAGAAGCTCAAACAAATATCAAAGGACTTTTAGAACGAAAACAACCAAAGAAAATTGAAGGTGCATATTTTAATATGCCAAAGAAGAGAAAATAAAGATCGACTAAAAGAAAAGGACTACACTCAAATTTTAATTTAGGTTGACATTAGTTCAAATTAAATCCTCCAATTTGTAAAAGTAAATTTAAGCCTATAGTAACTAGATAAAACAAATGAAATTTTCTGGCCCTACATTTAGAAACATTTTCTTAAACATTCCGAACATCAGGATGTTACACATACATGAAGGTGTCATATATACTCCTTGGCACTCAAGTGAGGGGATCTCAACTGTCTTCAGTATTACAAACCAATTTTTTTTATTCGATAGAAGTAGAGCAAAAAAATACTTATAAGACTTAGCAGTTGTGTTCTCAATTCAACCACACATAAAAAACTACTCGTTCAATAGAATTTATTAGTAGTAAAGCGATGGAGTGAATGTAGCTATGCCTATGGAATAGTAAAAATAGCAATTCCCAACAGTTGCCAATAACAAAAGTAAAGTAAACAGAGCGACAAGTATGACCAACACAGGCATGAGAGTGGATGATGAACGTTGCATGGATGGAATCAAATATGTAATAGCTGTAACACAGGGTGACAACAAACTAGACCTAATTCACCAGTCATATGTAGGCATATATTTTGTATACGTGCTTGCAATAAGAACTTGTATAACATCTTCTGTCCTATCCTTCCATTTCAGCGGGGTTCTAAATAAATTTAAGGGCAATTAAGACATCCCTTTCACAAAGCACCGGAACAAGGCATTAAAACCTATAAATACATGTAATCCTCAAATCATAGTCATTCCCTTTGATACACTGATTATTGTCACTTTAAGGTCTAGGGGACAGAACCATAACACGTGCATATAACGTGCAGATAAGATCCAAACCACATAAATATTCATAGAAAGATAAAGATTTCAAATATGAAATCATGATAGAAACATAAAGAGTTCAAATATGAAATCATGGCACTCAGGCTCTAATGTAAAGCACTAAGAATAGCAATGTAATAGCAATATCAACTCGGAACATACATGAAACTAGGCATCAAAGTTTAACCAATCCGACATCTATTACATAAGAGGTCTCATCTAATTCCCATCCACCCCATGTTTCTACGAGGAGATTTCTCACATATGAGTTGGGAGATCATGTTGGTGGTGATGAAGAAGAGTTTGGTGATGACTATGACGATGTATTCCACTCTCCAAAGGCCAAGATCAGCCTCCAGAGTAGCCATCCGAAAGATGAACGGAGGTTGCGGTTGCTCCGCATTACAAAAATCCCAATAAAATAGGTTAAACAGGCAAATGGTAAATATATGTCAAATGGGGGTTGTAAGGCGATAACCATGGGGGCCACGCGTCGTGTTCACGCCCCCCGAGCCGCGTGGTGTGCCCTTGTGGCCACCTGGTGCCCGCCCTCGGCTCATCTACTGGCTCCGTGGCTCTTCTCTTCGGAAACAATTTTTGGCATTTTCCTTAGATTTTGTGGGAAACTTCATTTCTGCACAAAAATAACACTAAGGAAAATTCTGGTGAAAATAACGCCAGTTCTGATTAGTTTTACTCAAATCATGCAAATTAGAGCATAAAAACCTAGCAATAGTGCCCGAAAAAGTAGATACATGTGAGACGTATGAGTTCCCCCAAGCTTAGCTCATTGTTTGTTCTTGAGCAATTAAGTTGATAAACTAAGGCGGCAAAGAAAAACTTTTGATGTCATTTTTCTAGGTATGTGTACAAAACTTTAGTCATGATCATTTATAACCATCTTATGAGAGTAACCGCATCCTCCATGTGTCGCGTCGCTGCTTTTCCAACTGCTGAATATGCACAAAAATCCTTAGCACAATCCCCTCTAGTGCATGGTTGCATAGATCTCAAGGCAGGGTGCCTCCCAACGGTTGGTGTGGATATGACTTGTACATCTTGCGTAGGTAAATATGCATTTCTGAGACCCCAAACATTTTTTAGTGAGCAAACAATTTTTTAAAATTTGGGAATATTTCTTAAAAAATTTGAACATTTTTTAATTCATGCGAATTATTCGAATTGACCAACATTTTTTGAGATTCACAAATATTTTTTGAATTAACGAACATTTTTTGAACTTCTAGAACAATCTCAAATTCATGAAATTTTCTAGAATCTGAAAACATTGTCCAAAAATTTATTATTTAAAAAATAAAAATAATTAAACAAAAAACGGAATAAAAAATAGGGGTGCCAAGCGCCAGCACATGGACGGGTACGGACCATGCACGGGAGGGAGAGGCTGTGCGTTGTCTTCCGGTCAAGTCACTGAATAGGAGGACTCTATATAACGGGCGCGCCTATGTCTCACTTATAGCAAGACATATTGCTACCACGCGTGAAGCGAATGCCAGACGCGGTAACCACTCGAACGAGTCCTTACCAACGCCACTCGAAAGAAGTGTGCAGGAACCACTGCCTCCGCCCCAACCTGGCCGACCTAGACACCCAGGTGGCAGAAATTCGGGTGATCTATGGCCGCGATTAAATGAAGAAGGATGTCCCACCCCCACCGAAAAGGCGAGGTCCCTATTATCATTTTAGGGTCATGTGGGTGAGAGTCATATCTTCGAAAGATTATCTCACCTCCATAGCCACCAGATGTTCCTTATTGG